ACTAATAATAGATGACCGTTTCTCACCGCTTCAAAAACAGTTCTACCCATAATTTATAGACTATTGTTCTAAAAGAGTCTTCTATTCCTATTATAAACAACAGTGACAAAAAACCCATACGAAACAGACAACAAACGTTAGATAACTGTTTCTAATAAATTTTAAAACAGTTCTAGAATAACAACCCAGACTATTGTTTAAATAGAGTATTCTTAACTTCTTATTGACAACTGTTGTAAAAAAAACTGTATCTTGAACTGAGACAGACAACTAATGAAACATTACCGTTTCTCGAAACTTGAAAAATAGTTTTAAAGCATACAACCTAGACTACCGTTCTGTTCTTATGAAAAACTTACAGTAGTCTGTTTTTTTTCAACTACTGTGTTTGCATAAACAGTAGTGAATCAACAGTGGTCTGATGCTGTTTCTGGCGTAGTGGGCGCAGCACCTCCGACAAGTCTCCTTCCCCGACTTCAACACCTCACTTGGCTTTCACGACCATCTCGAACGTGAAACTTCACGTTCCGATCCTCTTAAGTTTTACGGAGCCGAACTATAAAAAATGGAGCCGCCTTTTTCTCTTGTTGGTTCGGCGCTTCTCCCTCGGTGACTTTCTCACCGGAAATTCGGCTCCCTCCAACGACGACGACACTGATTGGTACCAACTCGATGCTCTTATCCAGGGTTGGATCCTCTCAACGATCAACGACGAGGTCTCCGACCTAGTCCTCTCCTATATTTTGGATTATATTAACATTTCTAAAAAAAGTGAACTTTTTATGACTTTTAAAAGATAAACTAGACTTCATATTAAGAGTATCTTTAGTGAAGAGATGGTGGAAACCTTAGTGTAATGATATTACTCCTTCCGTCCTAAAACTTTCTTCCCGTTGCGCAAAACGAAGAAAAATCCCAAGTTTTTTCAATCTATTTTATTTAAATATTGGTATAGAAATAAAAAAATAAAACATACATATTTAAAAACTACATCAAAAGTTCAACAAAACAAGTGGTGACAAGAATATTTTATTTTATCATATAGGCCATGAAAACACACAAATAAATATAAATTCCCGTGAAGTTGGAATAGTGCTCTAGGAAGAAAGTTTTAGGACGGAGGGAGTATAAATGAACTGGGACTTTCGTAAAAAGGAAAGTACACGCTCACCGACTCATGAAAAGTGTGAAAAGGCCTATATTTTTCATCTCGATCTTAAGACCACAGAAGAACAACTTTTTTTTACATATAGTGCAAATCTTATGTGATTCTTGAGTTGATATAATAATACTAACAACAACATTATTATAAAAATTTTATCTTTTAATTAGGTCAAATAAGATTCATTTAGATAAGACTAGATCTAATTAGATTAGATATAATGAAAACATAGCATGTCCAATCATATCAGATTCAATGAAATCAAATTGAATTTAAAAGAATCAAATCTAATCAGATCTGATTTAATCATATCAGATCGGACTAAATATTTAAAAAATTATATCAGATTTAGTAAGTTTATGGCTTTGTTCTTTTCAATTGTTCCGATCTGAATTGAATTTTTTTAGGTTTATCTAATCTGAATGAATCTGATCTAATTTGAATGATCTTAACTGATCTTGTCTAAATGAATTTAATTTGAATTCAAATTCAAATTATTATTATTCGAATTCGAATTCACATAATAATAATAACAACAACAACAACAACAACAACAACAGCAGCAGCAACAGCGGCGGCAGCAGCAGCAGCAGCAGTTTCTTCTAATCTAATCTGATCCTAATGGATTCAATCTGATTTCATTAAGAAGTAATACGAAGCAAAAACAAGTTGAAGAGAACGAGGCGTATATCAATGAAATAGAGCCTTAAGAGTGTCCCATTCATCTAGTTTGTTCTGATGTGATTTTTTAAAATTCTAATCGAATATTATTTGATCTGATTGGATCTGATTAGGTATGATATCATTAGAATTTTGATTCAAATTAAACTTAAATTGATTAGCATAATTTCACAACTTTTAAATATTATAATGATCATTTATTCTATAATACAATCAATAACTTTTATTTTATGATTATTATAATCAATCAATATATACATTAGAATAAAAAAATCCTTAACAACAACTAAGAATTGAAAATTTTTAATTATTTACTTTCAAATATTCAATACAAGGAAGAGAGAGTATTAATATAAAAATATGAATATCATACTACAAATAATTATTCTCCATTTTTTCTACATCTTACATAATACTCCTTTCGTCCTAGTGTATTCATTCAATTTGACTTTTTCAAATTAAACTTGACAAATTTTAATACAATAATAAATTAAAGTTATTGCTTATTAATACAATAAATTAAAATGTTAAAAGTTTTAAACAAGATAAAACAAATGAAGTGGTTTTTATACTAAAATATATTACCGTTTTTATTCAATTGAGGTGTAACATTGTTGACTGTGACTTAAAAAAGTCAAACTTGACAAATATACTGAGACGGAGATAGTAATATATTACATGTCACCAGAAAAGAGGTGCAACACGAGGGCTTCCTAAGGGGTCACTCATCCTTGTCTACTCTCGCCCAAGCACGTTTAACTTCAGTGTTGTGACAGGATCCGGTGCATTGCATGTCACAATTATTCAATAAAAAAATATTGCATTCTACAATTTACCTACATCACAAAAAAAATCTAACAGAGTCATAATCTCTTAAAAGAAAAGAACACACTTGATCTTTTCTAGGTAGGGCGGTAGGGGTGAGCAGGTACCAAACTGATCCCAAAATTTCCCGAAAAAGCCGAGATTACTGAAACAAAAAATACCAAACCGATAAAATACTAAAAAAGAAGCGTACCCCACCGAACCGAATGGTCGGTCAGGTAGTTGAGAATGGTACGAGGTAACTTCTCATACTGAAAAACCTTGAATTGAATATACATACAAATATGTTATAAAGATAATAATGTTTTTATATTTCTTCTTTAAAAAATAAATTAATTTTGAAAAGTTGGTTCAAGTATAGATGAGTTATATATAATCTTTAATTTAAATAATCATTTATTTGAACATTAACTTTTTTGTAGACGAATTTAAAAAAATTAACAAACATTTGAAATACTATTTTATTGTCATTGTTCTCTTTTGTTGTGAAATACGGAGTACGAAATATAAATTAAACTAAGTTTTATAAGCATTTCTTGCATTTAATTATTCATTTTTCAATTATTTATCTTTCTATATTTGAACGTACTTTCAATTTTTTTCAAATAAAAAATTTTGTACATTTCAAAAGTGTAAAGTGAGTATGTATATATATTTATCACAATATTTATCGGAATTGAAACTGGACCATCTCGAACCATACTGAATCGATACTTCGAGATTAGATTCGGTACGATGTAAAATACCATAGTTAACCATAATATTTGGTACGGTATGAGTACGAACCAAATAACCTACCCTACACGCCCACCCATAATTCCAGGATTTCCAGCTTCAACTTGTTAGGTGGCAACGTAGTAATCTGAATCCTAATCCGTGACCATTTCTTGTTCAGTTAATGAACTCCCCCGAAAGGAATAGTTTTGTTTTGCAGCCAAGAGAGATAATCGTGATTACTCTGTATATAAAGTTCCCTGAAAGACTAGAATGATTTACACGCCTTCAATTCAACGCTCAGTTCAGCCCTTTCTTTTTCTTCCCCTTTAAGGTCCTAATTCTCAATTTCCAAGGATTGAAGCTTCTCTTCTGAATCAATTTCAAAGTAGTCAGCTCAAAAGGTCCAGGAAACATATCTACCCGACTTCCCGTCATATCATTTAAGACCCTAACTCCGTGTTTGATCTCAAGTAGGGTGACTCTAAATGCGTATTAAAGATTCGATTTTTGGGGTTGCTTTCTGAGATTTAACAGCTTTTTTTTATCCTGACTGCGGAATTTAAATTAGGCTTGTTTGTTTGTGGAATACCGGGATTCAAGATGAGGAAAGAGGTCTGCATTTTAGCTTGTGTGTGGTTTCTCGTTTGTGGGTCTTGTTTGTGTAGATTTGTAGTGGAGAAGAATAGTTTGAGGGTGACTTCCCCAACCTCCATCAAAGATGTGTACGAGTGTGCAATTGGGAATTTTGGGGTTCCTCAGTACGGAGGAACCATGACGGGCGTGGTGATGCACCCAAAGGCTAACCAGAAAGCATGTAAAAGCTTCGATGATGTCGATGTTTCCTTTAAATCCAAGCCTGGTAGCATGCCTGTCTTTGTTCTGGTGGATCGTGGAGGTAAGATTCCAATCTTTCTTGTTCATTTAATTGTCTGCATTTAAATTGTATTTGATTTGTTATCTTTGAGAAATTGTGGCAAATGTGTGGCTTGTGATTATATGTTAGCACACATGAAGATGATGATCATCTGATCTACGGAGTATTAGTTTTAAGTGTGTAATTTTTGGTGTCACACAAATGAATAAAAGTGAAAAACAAATAGTTCACTAGCAATTGACACTGTTTGAGTCATGTCTAAGAAATGTGTTTTCTGGGGTTTGATCACCTCTGTGGCAGATTGCTATTTTACGGTGAAGGCTTGGAATGCTCAGAAGTCTGGAGCTGCTGCCATTTTAGTTGCCGATGACAGGACTGAGCCTTTGATCACCATGGATACCCCAGAGGAAGAAAATGCGCAGCCAGATTATCTGCAGAATATAACTATTCCTTCAGCACTCATTAGCAAGGATCTCGGGGATAAAATCAAGAAAGAACTCTCAAAGGGAGAGATGGTTGTCATAAACCTTGATTGGAGGGAGGCTCTTCCACATCCTGATGAACGGGTTGAATATGAGTTCTGGACAAACAGTAATGACGAATGTGGACCCAAGTGTGAAAGCCAGATAGAGTTTGTCAAAAACTTCAAAGGAGTTGCGCAGATACTCGAGCAGAAAGGATATACCCAATTCACTCCACATTACATTACTTGGTACTGCCCAGAAGCTTTTACTTTGAGCAAACAATGCAAATCTCAGTGCATCAACCATGGGAGATATTGTGCTCCGGACCCCGAACAAGACTTCAGCCGAGGATATGATGGGAAGGATGTTGTTTTGCAGAATTTACGGCAAATTTGTTTCTTCAGGGTGGCTAATGAAAGTGGAAAACCATGGCTTTGGTGGGACTATGTTACTGATTTTTCAATCCGCTGCCCAATGAAAGAGAAGAAGTACACAAAAGACTGTGCAGATGAAGTGATACAATCGCTTGGTAGGCTGGATTCTGGTTTTCAAATATTTCACTGGATTTTGCATGCTTTCTCTATGATATGCCAATTTCCTTAACTTTTCTACTGTGTGTATTTTGAATATCGTGTGTAATTTTATTTCTGATAGTTATTCGTTTGTGATTTGTTGTGGCCTTATACTAGCATCCTAGATGNGATTTTTCAATCCGCTGCCCAATGAAAGAGAAGAAGTACACAAAAGACTGTGCAGATGAAGTGATACAATCGCTTGGTAGGCTGGATTCTGGTTTTCAAATATTTCACTGGATTTTGCATGCTTTCTCTATGATATGCCAATTTCCTTAACTTTTCTACTGTGTGTATTTTGAATATCGTGTGTAATTTTATTTCTGATAGTTATTCGTTTGTGATTTGTTGTGGCCTTATACTAGCATCCTAGATGAACATTTTCTAATTAGTGTTTCTATGTGGTAAGTGGTAACTCATTGTTCTCCCCTTGGGTGTGTTGAGTGAGCATTCTATATACACTGTATCACTTCCTCATCTTGGATTTTTGGACAATATCTGACTGCTACTGGTTTATTACATTTGCTGTTGTAGGCATTGACGTTAAACAAATTGACAAGTGTGTGGGGGATGCTGAAGCAGATGCTGACAACCCCGTTCTAAAGGTCGAACAGGAAGCACAGGTATACTTTTTGAGTTGAAACCAGTCTTCTACTTTTATACACTATATCTCTGTCATCTTTGATGCAATTTACGTACCGGGTTCTGTTAATTTCAGATTGGAAAAGGTACCCGTGGAGATGTGACTATCTTGCCAACTCTTGTAGTAAACAATAGACAGTATAGAGGTACAAATGCTAAAACAAACAGAAAGCTGCCTCACTTTAAGTTTGTAAGAGAATAAAAAATCGTGACTTTATTGATCATGGTATAAATTGTAGGCAAGCTCGACAAGGGAGCAGTAATAAAGGCTATTTGCTCAGGATTTGAGGAGACAACAGAGCCCACAATTTGCTTATCTGATGGTTATTCTTTTTACGCTTTTGACTTTTTGTCTCCTGAATTGACATCTTACTCTCACTGTTATTCTACCTAATACAGTAGGAACTTTCCCCACCCCAGCTCCTACACTCATCCCTCTTTCCTCACGGGAATGAATAAGTGAAAATGCCTCAAATCATGAACCAGACCTGGTTACAATTTCTCATTATGCGAAGTGCTCTCTCCTAAGCACACTTTAGTAAATTCATACTTTTCCACATGTTCTATCAAAGTATATAGAAGTTCAGTGTTTCCTGACCCCTTTTTAAAATCCATGGTGATGTAGCTACAATTTGCAACTGCACTTTGCCAAAATTGGTGTTTTTATTCATATAATTGTAATCCAGTCATTTATGACAAATTGTCATAGGACTAATGATGATGATTGTGTTCATTTCTTGGCTTAATAGTGTGGGTATATCAAATACCAACAAACTAATCCATGCTTTTGTACTTTACTTGAAAGGTCCTACATTTAGCTTCTTTTTGTGTGTGGATAATTTTATAATAAGCCAACAGTGTTGTTGTCTATAGATATCGCATCAATGTTCATTCTCAACTTTTTTTTCCTTTCTTTCCCTTGCAGATATACAAACAAATGAGTGTTTGCAGAACAATGGCGGGTGCTGGCAGGATAAGTCTTCTAATATTACTGCATGCAGGGTACTCCGCTAGCTGTAGATGAATGAATGATTACTTCCTCTTCAGTTCTTTGAATCCGCAAGTTCATATTTTTGAACTGTTGTGTACTTGTCTTATTCATTAAACTTTGTTGTAGGACACTTTCCGTGGGAGGGTATGCCAGTGCCCCACGGTGCAAGGAGTGAAATTTGTTGGTGATGGTTACACTCACTGTGAAGGTAAATGTTTATGCGTATTCTTGTGTGCACTTTCAATGTGTTAAAGCAAACCTGCTGATGTTTCACCCGTACTATTGCTCCTCTGACTTTATGGATTTGAAGCGTCTGGGGCATTGCGATGTGCACTTAATAATGGAGGTTGCTGGAAGCACACACAGGATGGCCAGACATACTCTGCTTGCATTGTGAGTAGCTCTATTTAAACTTGTTGTCTTGAGCTTCAGAACTTTCTTTTCCTTTTGTATTTTTCCCTTACTCTGCTTTGATACCTATTCACTAGTTTCAGATCTTTTATTCCCTTGGACTTGCTTAACAGTAAAAGATTTATCAAGGGGACTTGTATTGAGGTTGATTGCTACAAATTCTTGGCGAGTATTATTCCATTTTTATTTGTTCTTTTCTCAGGATGATCATACAAAGGGCTGCAAATGTCCACCTGGATTCGTAGGTGATGGGATCAACAATTGTGAAGGTACATGCCTCTTAATATTTGTGTGCCTTGAATGAATTTAGGTTGGGCCAGAGCAACCAAGATTTTTTTACTTATTAGTCATACCTTTATGAATTACAAAGTGATTGATACTGGAGTCCATATAGAATTCCTAATTGAAGCCAATTAGGCACTCAGTGCCCAGTGAAAGATATTGCGACTACAAGCTGATAATCCTACTTGGTTCTTTAATCTGATACTACCTTTGTCCCACTTTGTTTGATTCACTTTCTCACCTAGTCTAGCAAAATTATGGATATTTTTACTACTGTATCTACTTCAAAGCTAACTTTGTTAGATGCAACTATATCTTATTTATACTCCAGTTACTTTTTACTGTCCCACTTTATATATCCTCTCACCTTTCTTTACTTTTTGTGGGAGCCATATCACTTTTCTTCTTTAAGATATTAAAATTTTAAAGTAATGACCCTTATTCTAACAAAACTTGTGTCCAAGCCAAATGTGTCCTACTTCTTGGGACAGGAGTATTATCTTACATTCTTACACCATCCAAACTTTCCATTCTTCAGATGTTGATGAATGCAAAGAGAAATTGGCTTGCCAGTGTCCACAGTGCAAATGCAGGAACACATGGGGCAGCTATGAATGCAGTTGCCATGGTGATCTGTTATACATGCATGAACATGACACATGCATAAGTAAGCGTAAAAAACGTGTTTCTTTATGGTGTCTAGTTTTAGGAATTGCCCTTGTTCAGTGGCATCCGGTAAAAGGGTTATTTGTTTTTGTCCATTGCCTGGCAAGCATATCCCAATTCATTGCTATCTTCCAAATGCAGCTGGTAAAGATGTTAAAACTGGCTTCAGCTGGGGCACTCTTTGGGTCATCATCCTTGCATTGGCAGCTGTAGGAGTTGCAGGATATGCAGTTTATAAATACCGGATCCGGGTAATTCTCATTATCTTCTCTGACTGTTGTGTTTCATTGTCTACTAGATTTTTGTTAGAACAGAGAGGATATACGTAAATTCAAATGTTATTTCAGAAAATCAAAAAAGAAAATAACTCCGAAGCCATTAGAATAATTTTGCTCTTATGTATGGACAAAACTGTGATATTAGCAATGGTCTGTGCATCAAAATTTCATTTTTCCCCTATGCTTAAAAGATGACTGTGGGATTTGCAACCCTGCAGAGATACATGGATTCTGAGATTCGCGCTATAATGGCTCAGTACATGCCTCTCGATAACAATGGTGAGGCCCCCACCCACCACGCTTTGAATGGAAATGTGTGATTATCGTGCTTCAAAGTTCAAAGAGGAGGAAACACCATAAATCTGAAGTTGCCATGGGTTGTTTTTGCCCAGTGCCACTCTTGTATTACGATACTTAGAATATTGCAATAAAATCCCTATGGCATGGAGAAATTTTAACAAAAAAAGGGTTTTTGCATCATGTTCACATGATTTATACATGCATATATTTAAAATAAAATGTTCAAGTGGACGATTTTACCCTGTTAGAACTTAACAATTTCACATGCACATATTTAAAATAAAATGTTTGAACGTGCATAACACAATTAGAAATAGTATGGAAATCTGAAATTGAAAGCATGGATGACATGAGATAGTGACTTTAAGAGCTCCAGCAATGAAGTTGCTACACTGTGTCTAATGACAAGAAAAAAACATGAGATAGTGACTTTAAGAGCTCTAGCAATGAAATTGCCATATTATGTCTAATGACAATAAGGCTCCGTTCCGTTCAACTTATTTTTTCTGATCTGATCTGATTCTAATAAGTTCTGATCTGGTCTGATCTGATTGGATCTGATCTGATCCGATTGGATCTGATCTGATTAATTATGATTTAATTTAAAATTTCAAATCAATAATTTAATTTGACTTTATAATAACGTTTGAAAATTGTAATGATAATTCATATTATAATATAATCAATATTAAAATAAATTACTAAGGAAAAATTATTTTATTTTTATCAATTAAGTATATAATCTTATTAGTAAGTATAATATTACATATAATATTTTTTATTTTATGATAATTTTTTTGTAAAATTAGAATTATACATTGGAATAAATATTTAATTTAGATATACATTTAAAAGTAATTAAATTTAGATAATCAATATATAGAAGAGAGTATTTTTATTAAAATATCTCATCCTTATAAAAGATCAAAAGTTTAGAAACTCAAATTACAAGTAGCAATAAAAATATATTTTAAAAGTAGAATTAGATTGACATTGTCAATGTATTTTAAAACTAATTTTTCCGACGTCTAATAATTAAGAATTACTTTCTCAGCTTTTTATTTAACCTATTTCTAAAGTTTATTCTTTTTCATTTTTAAGAACAATAATAATAATAATAATAATAATAATAATAATGATGATGATGATGACGACGATGATGATGATGATGATCATAATAATAATAATAATAATAATAATAATAATAATAATAATAATAATAAAATAATAATAATAATAATAATAATAATAATAATATAATAATAATAATAATAATTCTTGATGAGATCTTATTTTAATAAGTCTTGATCTGATCTGATTGGATCTGATCTGATTCGATCTGATCTGATCTGATCTGATCAGGTCTGATCTGATCTGATTTTAATAAGAATAAGATAAAATAAGAAAAAATAAGTTGAACGGAACGGGGCCTAAAGGGGTAAGTATTTCTAACGTTTCTTTTACTGTATTTATTGAATTATTTGGTGAATTTAAGGTCTCTATCATTGCCAAAAATGTCAACGCTAAACTCACGTTTTTAGAAAAAGATACCGTAATAAATTTTTGAAACATGATAATAACCTCAAAAATAAAATTAAGGTAATATTTGAAAATAATACAGTAATACTATTGACCAGAATCCTAGTTGTTTTTTGTTCAATTGTCTAAAGTTAGAGAACGTAGAACTTTTAAGAACAATAAAAAAAATTTAAGTTGGGAACACCTAAAAAGTTTGATGTAAAGAAAATTAAGTTAGTCAAGGCTAAGGATAATAGGCCACCTGAAAAAAATTTAATCATTCTAGGAAAAATAATTTTAAATCACCTATATATAAATCTAGAAAAACATTTCTAGGAATAATAATAATTCTAGGAAATATATAGACAACCTAGAAATATTATGGAAACTTCTAGAAATACTACGTAATAATTTTGGATCACCTAGAAATTATTTCACTTAACCTAGACATGTGCATAACTCAAAAATCTTTTGGAATTATTGTAATTGGATAAGACTAGAACTGATCAAAGTGCGGGCCGGGCCGGGCCGAGACACTACTTTACGAGAATTTTCTAGGCCCGAGCCCGTCGAGGCCCGTATAACGGGCCTCACAATTGAAGCCCGAGCCCGAACCCGCATGGTTACCCGCGGGCTTCGGGTCAGCTCAGCTCGACCGACAAAAACTTCTAAATAATTTAAAAAATAATTTTTTTAAAAAAAAATAAAGTAACAAGTTAATATATTAGATTTTTTATATAAAAACTATTATGACTTATGAGTGATGAAAGAAAAGTTAATATATAAATATATTTTGTTTGATATTGCTACTATGTATGGAGTACAAAATATTATCTATTGGAATGTCATAATCAATGTATTATACGTTGCAAACAATACGGAGTAGTAAAGATGGATTCATTATATTATATAAATTTATAGTTTATTTTTTCACCCCATAAAAGTATGTATGTGTGTTTGTAGTAATTTGAAATAGGTTTTTTCTTTATTATTATTATTAATGTTGTTATTGTTATTTTATTATAATTATATTAATAATAAATATTTTATTTTATTTGGGCTGGGCCGGCCCTGCCCGTGGGCTTGAGCATAAACCCTAGCCCAACCCTAAAATATTCAGGCCGCCATTTATAAGGCCCAAGCTCGGCCCGTACCCTAAAATGTTAAGCCCAAGCCCGCTATTTTGCGGGCGGACTTTTCCGGGCAGGTCGGATACCCGAGCCCGTGATCAGGTCTAGATAGGACACAACTCTCAAATATTTTATCAAACAAATAGATTTATTACAAGACACTCAAAATTTATGATTATTTATCTAAGGCTGTGTTTTTTCTCCTGATTTCATCTGGTTTTTTAAAGTTCTGATCTCATCTGGTCTGATCTGATTGGATCAGATTAGATCTAGTCTGATTTAATCTAATATAAATTTGACTTAAATTAAAATTAAAATTATTATTATAATAGCTATAATAATAGTAATAATAATAAAAGAAATAATCTGAATAATATTAATAATAATAGTAATAATAATAGTAATAATAATATTCATAGTAATCGTAATAATAATAATAGTAATAGTAATAATAATAGTAAATGTAATAATAATGATAATAGTAATAATAATATTAATATTAATTGTAATAATAATAGTAGTAATAATAACAATAGTAATAATAATATTAGTAGTAATATTGATAGTTATAATAAAAATAATAGTAATACTAATAATAATAGTAACAATATTAATATTAATATTAATATTAATATTAATATTAATATTAATATTAATATTAATATTTTTTAAATATGATAAGATTAGATGCGATCTGATTCTAATAAAAATAAATAATAAGCCGGACAAATAAGTTGAACAGAACGTAGCCTAACTCCCAAGGCCCTAATAGTCTTGTAAACTTAAGAATTATTTTTAAATACATTCAGAAGTGTGTTTGAAAAAGACTACAAAATTGTAATGGATGATCCAACACTAGACAAAATATAATTATAGTCTAGGGGTGGGCATGGTCCATGCTACTACATTAACCTTTCACAGACCATGAATATTAGAAATCTTATTAGTAGTAAATTTTATAAGAATAAAATATTTGAAATCTTATAGTACATGATGGTATAAATTAACGACCGGTATATCGTTTTTAGCCCGGCAAAAACGATAAACTAGTCTAAAAAATACACCAAAATATAAACACAGGAATTTTTACGTGGAACCCAAATCGGGAGAAAACCACGTGCCTTTTTTGGCGGTACCTTGCCAACAGGGGATTTTTTATTAATATAGGGGGTGTGTACACGGTACATGATTTGGGCTTAGAAGCCATTAATGGTGGAGCTAGAAGCTCTTGAAGAAGAAGGAAAAACACACTAAAAACTTTCTAAAGAGGGAGATAGAGATGTGCAGGAGATGAGTGAGTGAATGGCCTCCCTAACATTGAAGGAGAGCCTTCCTTTTATAGGAGTAGCTCAAGCATCTTCAGAGGAATATTCTTTTATTCCTCTATTTTATTAAACAAGCCTAGTTTGACTGTTTTTCATAAATAATTAGGAAATGTGGGCCGAGTCACGCATTATTTCCCATCAGTACAGATTACACCAGACTGAGGGGATGAACGCGACTCCAAAGAAATATGAAAATGAAATAAATCTAAATTTTTAACTTATCCGGATTAATAACAATAAATAGAACAAAATAAATAGCTTCCGATCTTCAAATGCCTTAATTGACGAGACTAAGCAATTTGTGCTTTGGATTGAAACAACCAAGCTAGTTGAACTTGTTACTTGTGAACAAAATATACAAAACTGAACAACGTAACAAAGTAGCGGAGTTGTCCATATAATATTTTCCGCCTACCGTACTAGAGAACGTGGACACTTTCCTACCAAGATAAAACCACTATCGTATGTGGTGGTTGTACGGACCATCTACACACCAACGAACAAGAACAATGTCAGAGCATTACCGTTGGAAGATAAGGCAATATTTTCTCCCTCAACTTCCTTTTCCAATATAAGAAAGATGAAGCTTCAAAAATGAAAAAAAACCTTGCTTGGTTTTTTCCCTTCCTAAGAGAGTAAATAAAGAATATCAATGCTCTTCTTAATTGGCTTCATGACTTTTCATTTGTGTAACTCACACCATAATGACCCACTAATAAGGGCTTGTTCTTTAAGATTGTAAAAAAAGTTGGATGTTGGAAAAACTGGAAAAAACTGAAGGGAATTGGAAGAAACTGGAAAGAACTGGAAGAACTAGAAGGAACTGGAAGAACTAGAAGTAACTGGAAAAAACTGGAAGGAACTGGAAAAAACTGGAAGGAACTGGAAGAAACTGGAAAAAACTGGAAGAAACTAGAAGAAACTGGAAAAAACTGGAAAACCTAAAAAAAACTTTAAAAATATTAATTTTAAATTCTCGTTGTTATAAATTATTATTATTATTATCATCATCATCATCATCATCATCATTATCATCTACACAATCATCATCATAACGTTATTTTAGTGAATGTCTTTAACATATAAAAAAAATATTGTTATTTTTTAAATACAAAAAACTACTTTTACAAAAAATAATTATAATATAAAGTTAGCATAAATATAAAAATATTAAATTTTAAAAAGGCTGTGTAGTTATATTGCACCTGAATTTATTTATGTAGTATTTATTATAAATAATGTAATTGTAATTATAATTTATATATTAAAACATTTTGTTTTAAATATCATACATGTCACATAATCAAACCTATTGTTTATTTCATGATTGACATTTTATTTTCATTGAACTCCTATTTTTGGAATTAAGACAAAGAACTTTTTTATTTACATTTTTTTATGTTTTACTCATATTTTTGTCTTTTTCTCTAAGCTCTTTTGACTTATAATTTTTTTATTAAAACATTTCAATGTAACTATTTTATCCATGAATTTTTAGTATAATTTAACATATTGATGTTTTCCTGTTTTATCATGTAGAATAATATATAAAAAATGTCTTATTCATATTAAAAAGTTGAAGAAAAAAAATAATAAGTGTGAATCGTAAAAATAGTTAGATGAAAAAAATAATTTATAAACTACAGTTATGAATATAATAGTTGTAATAATAATAATAATAATAATAATAATAATCACATTGAAATGTATCATTTTTAGAGTAATTGGTTGAGGAGTAGAAAGAATTTGAAGAAAATGAAAAAAGTTGGAAGAAAGTGGAAGAACTAGAAGAAACTGGAGTCTCCTGAGAGAGTCTTTCGAGCTACACTACTTTCATTAAGCTTACAAATGCTTAACAAACCAGTACAACCTGAGAACTCGAGTCACATGAGCCTCGATACACTTGCTCGAAATTACCGTACTCCAAGACTTCAACCGCTCGGACTCCTTGCCCAAGACTTCAACCAGTAATATTGCAGGTTCTTGGCAAATCCAATGCTCAATGAGACGAATCGGTCTTCTCAAACCTCTCTCTTATAATATGAACTCTCTAGAAAGAGTAGATGAAAAGATACAATGAAAAAGAATACGGGATGATGCTGAAATGATATTATTAGAAAGTATAATTAAATTAGGATACTTCTTTCCTTTCCTACTAGGATTATTCTTTCCTTTCCTACTTATACTTTGATTACTCTTGTATTTCCTATATATAGGGCCATATCTCTCAATATTCAATAAGACAAGTTATTATCAAATTGTATCATGGTATCAGAGCTAAGGCTCTCAAAAACCTAGCCTCTCTTTTTTTCCGACCGCCGCCCACCATGGCAGCCCCGTCGGATCATTTGGCTTCCTTACCCTCCGGAGTAAAACTTTTGCTTCGGAGTCTCCACAACTTAATCCCAGAAAAACTCACCAAAACAAATTATCCGGCATGGTCTCTCAATGTCCAGACAGCTCTTTCAGCTAATCTCCTCCTTGGATGGATTGATGGTCATGAAGCAGCCCCGGCGCCAACTATCTCCAAAAACGATAAAACTGTCCCTAATCCAGAGTATACCTCCTGGACCATCGTTGACACACAGATTCGCGCCTGCCTCCTAGCGGTCATCAGCCCCTCCGTTCACAAACATGCTCGCGGCTTCACCACATCTGCTGCCCTCTGGGATGCTTTGGCCGCACGGTACAATTCCGTGTCCACCACTCATGTTTATCAGCTTCGAGACAAACTCCACACTCTTCGTAAAGGTACCAAAACTATGACAAAATACCTTGATGATGTGGCAACTATTCTCTCGGATCTCGATGCCTTGAAAGAAGAGATCCCTGAACGTGATGTGGTGAATGCTGTTATTCGTGGTCTTCCCACCGAATACTCATCCTTTAAGCAAAACATTCGCATGAACAATACCAATATTTCGTTAAATCAGCTTTCTGGATGGCTGATCTCCGAAGAAATAAACCTGGAGATGGAGAATAAACTCAGCCTCACCGAGTCTACCATCACCGAACCTCGCACAGCACTTCTCGCTAC